ATTTTTTATGCAAAAGTAATGTTGATGTTTAATTTCCATATAGATTTGCATTTTGTGAGAAATTAAAATACATAAAAGCCTTGAAATAGTTTCTAAACAGTTAAGTACATATTGCGAATAAAGTTTCACAAGTTCCACAAGATTGATGCAGGCTTGATATCGATAAAAGCATACGAGTTTAAAGTTAGAACATGACGATAGTAGTAGCATTATAGTAATAGTAATATTCGGTGGTGTGGTGATGTGTTTCTGCTATTATAATAAAAATAATATTACGAGTAACATTGATAATATTACAAGTGAAATGTTTAATTACTGTCAACTAATTTAACAACTGTAATTATACATTGCAAATAGCATTGTATAATGAGCAATGTCTAATTTCTTTTATTCGATCAGAGTTTGGAAACTTTATTAACAAACTTAATCAGCACTAGATAACGATGCATAACTATTTCGATTCATTCTTTGTGCATTAAAAAATCGGGATGTTAGAATATCAATTCGGATCGCGGTAAATTATTTTTATACAGAAATTAAATTAAACATCATAACATAAAACTGTTGACAAGAATAATTCCAAGTGATTTGAAAATTACATATAAATATAATTATTTATACAAAGGCGAAAAAAATATCTGCTTTAGAATATATCATTTCACAAATATAAAAGGTTGCTTAAAAAATGTAATAGATTTTTTTTTATTACTTTGCTTAGGGCTTAGGGATTTTAAATATCGATGAATGAATTTCTTTATATAATTTCGCACGACGAGAATATTTGCAAATTTCCAAGTTCAATCTTTTCTCAGAAGTTTGAAGCATCAACATTCTGACGTGAATACTTTACGCGATTATTTATTGCTCATTATTGGATTATTTAGTCCCGTGGGAGGACGACCGCCACCTGGGCCACCAGTTTTTCCAGCACCGGCAGCTCCAACAATTGCACCTGCTACCACTGTGATACCACCGAGCACCATACTCGGGTAAGTCTCATGGCGTTTATCATCGCTGCACGTGACACTCGGCTTCCGTTTGTTTATTGTTATTTTGTTGCGTTTCCCCCCTTTTTTGGTTACCATTAATTGCGCGATGAATGCCGTACCGGCATTAAACGACGAGCTCTTCTGAATTTTACGTTCGCTCATCTGGCTAATGTTGGCGCACTCGACGACGGGTTACGATTCGTATGCATTAACTTTTTGTCATTGGTCCTGATCGTTAGTCCGCTATTGTGCGGACGATTTATGAAGCGTCCGATGATATCACATTTTCTGTGACAATTGCATCTAATGCAAAATCTCACATACATCAATCGTAACCCGTTCGTGAAGCGGTCCGACGATTCGTCATCTCGCGCGTCATTATCCACTCCTCCTCCTATATTTTATGTTACGTTCTGGCGTCATTTTTTTATATTATTTTTAGTTTAAGAAACATACAGAGATCTTTTGATTTCGTATGTCATCACGTGCACGCTTCGTTTGCTTTCGATGTCGTAAGCCGCGCGATTCTGATACGCGCTGTTATTGCTGGATGTGTACCCTTGTCTAGTTACACAGTTTTTATTTCTCTCACGTCGTGTTACGACGAACACTCGTACGTTGGTAGAAAAATGACGCGAACGTAACTTATGGAACAGTGCCGCGGTGGTTGCAGCCACGAGATGGTAAAGTCCCCTGCAACTGCAACGACTATGGCATACCCCACGGAGGAGGAGAAGCGGTCGCACCGTCGCATAGGCGGCACCAACGGTGACGACGACGACGACGACGACGACGATGACGATGTCGTCCGAAGCAACGGTAACCGCGAGGCACGCAGTCGTGACCTCGTCATGTGTCGCGTCTGCGATTTCAAGAGCGATAGGAATGACGATCTTGAGTCGTATTTGAACGATCGCAATAACGGGGGTAGAATCGGCGCTACCGATACGTCTAATTGTGATTTTACATGCAGTGACCCGCTACCATCGACCAGTTACGGCAGCTACGGCAGCTACGGCAGCTACGGCAGCTACGACAGCTACAGCAGCTACTATCCTGACGAAGTCGCTGATCGACTTTCGGAATCACCATCGTCACAGGAATCCGAGAGTAGGCCGGACGAGAAGGAAAATCATCGAATCAGACGATCCCGGAAACAAAGCCAGCCGAGAAAAGTCACATCAGTATGGCATCATCGTGAAAATCAGAAGCGTTATTTGATACCTGCTCTAGGTTTCCAAAATGTAAGAAAACAAAACTTCAAAATTAATAGTAAAAGTATTCAGTCACAGCAGAGATCGGCATCGCAGAGAGTGTTTAAGTGTCACTTGTGCCCGAAATATGCGCCCGCACGAGGGAAGACTCATCGGCCATATCACAGCAGAGCTTCGTTGACACTTCACATGTTGTGGCGACATAAACGAGGATCTTGTGCGGCCAAGAATCAAGCGATAAGAGACAATTTGGCATCGACCGTCTCCTCGGTTACGCTTAAAGCAACGTTTTTCACTAATCCGAATTATAGATATAATAGATAACAGCAAAAGAGGCTGGAAATGGCCAAGAGTGTATAAATTGTAATTTTTAACTAATTGTAAGTCTTCAAGTTAAATTCGATTCAAATCATAAATAAATTTAAATCACAATTTTTCATAAAAAAACCTGACGAACTTTACGTTGACGTACTTACTTGACACACGGAATTTGAATTTTGATATATTTTTAGTAATTTTCTGACTAATGCAAAGAATAATCCTTCTTACTGGAGGAAATTGACGTGAGAGTTTGTGATTCAGATTTTTTTCGCAAGATAGAAATATTTTCTGTGTACATCTGTGACATAATAAGTTCAGTTCTTCGAATGGGAAAATTGCAGAATAAGTTCTGTATTCTCAAAGCAAAATAACCTCTTAAAGGCGAAATAGCGAGAGAGTGGCAGCAAAGGATGCACGAAGTCTGTCTCATTTTTAGAAAGAACTTTACAAAGAATGATGAAATTACTGTGAACGGTAGGTGCGTTCCTAAGAAACATGTTCTGATGATTATATTTCTTTTATTATATATAAATTCAATAATAATTTTTAAAATAAAATTGTTACTTCTGAGAGACAGATATCGTACGTGTGATATGAGTCTGAATTGAAAGTATTTTAACGTAACGTACATAAGAATGTAAATATGTTTTTTCCACAATAGTTTTAACTGCTTCAATATTAGATAAGATATTCAAATTGATTATAAATGTTATGTAAATAATTTTTTCGAAGCATTGGCGAAAGTATGCGAGTGTACTTTCTATATAAAATTAAAGGAGTAATACGAAAGATCGCTTTTGATAATTGATGTCATAATCAGTCTTATGAACTCCTCAGTCATGGATTTGTTTTCACCTATTTATATTTTGCATCGATCTTTTTTCAAAAATTAATTAGCAATCTGAAATTCTGGGCATTTAATTCCAAGCTCTTGATTGAAATAAGATTTCCGACATTGTCTATGATGAGTAAGTCACAATTTTTATAAAACTACGGTATAATGTAAGGCATTTGTACAGAAACATTATCTTGTTTACGTTATTACGTGAAATATGTCTATTGTGCATGAATAAAATGATGACTCGAAGATGAAATTCCTCACATTTTTCTCTAAATATTTGTGTTTTTATAAAAAAAAATCCTGTTTTTCACTTTTCTCTTGCTAAAATCAATTTGTAATAGTATTTCTCAAAGTTTAGTTTGTAAAGTATAATAAAAACAATTCCTATTTTAATTCCTATTCAACGCAATATAGATGCGGTAAAAAGATGATTAAAATTATTTATTAAAATATAACAATATAGAATATAATTTATATCTAATAATTTCATTTTTATAATTTGTAAATAAAAATTATTAGTAGCGGGTATTGTAGCGAAAGAAATCGAATCATATATCGTACGTCGGTATATAGTACATGAATACCGGCGGGAAGCTTTGTATAAGAATCAAAAGTTGTCGCCACGGTTTCTATATTCCTGCACATTTCTATATAGAGCAACATATAATTTGACCCATTGCGCAATAATATTTTATTGCAGCGTAAACGTTACGATAAATTATAAAAAAATATTTATATCTTATAAAAACTACAAAGTATAAGCTCTTTTATTGATCATTTCAGATGACACAAAAAAATAAGAGCTAATAGTTTTTTAAAATATAATATCTATAGTTTCCGATATATAGTTAATTTGTATTTAACAACATATATACAATATTTCTAATTTCTCATTTTATGTCAATTTTATTGTATCGCAATAATAATGCAACAAGAGCCGTGGCTCTTCGCATTACGAAACTGTTGCAACGATATCGGACGTTAATGAACGTTGAAACAATATTAAGATAATGATGAGATAGAATTTAATGAAGAAGAAATTTTAAAAGAAGATATATCTACGTGCAGATATATGTATTGTGCAGAGAGAAATTGTTAAATATAAACTAGTTTTTGCATTATCATCACGGTCATCGGGATTTATTTAATCCGCTTTTATGGCGTAGAATAAACAGGCTACCTTTTATTGAAAATAATTTCGCCGTCGAATGATTATCCTAACGAACTTTCAGTAATGTAAAACCTTGAAAGCACCGCTAAGAGAGAACGTCGGCCTGATGTCGACAGTCGATAATTGGATGAAATCTGAAACTGTTCGATACCACATTCCCCGGTTTTCGCAACGGAATAACGTTACCCTAAAATTATCAACAAACTTTAACAAACTGATTTAATTCGTCAAATAAACAATACGACGGGAGAAACAATTACAAAGGTGCCTTGTTTGGGATATAGCTGCATAGCGAGTTTATCAAATTGTCTTGTAAATCAAGTCAGATGACGTGAGTTTATATGAATTGTCTATAAAAATCTTACATCTAGCCATTGATAACGATTGATATGAAATTGGATTACATAGTTCAATGTACTGTTTCAGGATAACATTTAGAATGTATAGACTATAAAATTAATCTTTGCTGGTCACGATAAATAACAATTCGAAAAGTATATAGTATATAGTGTATAGTATATGGAGTATATAGTATATAGTATATAGTATATAGTATATAGAGGGGTAAAAACTATAGTGGTGTAAGTCAAATTTTTAAAAATATTTTCTCGTGTGCATAGATGCAATCTGTACAATATATAAAGTGCATCTATCCACACGAGAAAATATTTTTAAAATTTTGACTTACATCACTGTGGATTTTACCCCTCCATATATATATAATATTCATATAAATTGTACGATTACATATTAGAGAATGTTGTCATTTCGAAATATAATGTATTTTACGTACCAGTTATTTGAAAAACAAAAAATACTTTTTGCTTGATAACATATTGTAGTTCAAGAAACATTTCAAAATTTTAATTAATTAATTTTTTTAGAATTTTTTGAATGTTTGAGGCTAATATTTACATTTTGACTGCCATGTCAACATACTGCTATATCTTAGGTGTCGCGTGAGTTTTCTCAACCTATCATCCATTTGTGGATGACAGTTTTATTTGCTTGGTTAGGAATAATTTTATTAACAATAAGCTTGAGACGTTAGAAAAGAATAAAGTAATAAAATAATACACTAGATTTATTAAAAATAGAATTATTTTATTTTTAATTTGATAATTCTATTCTTTTGCTCGATTATTGGCCCTTTCCACATTATTTTGACTCTTATATTTTATAAAAAACTGTGCAGTTCTCGACATCAGCCGAAACAACTTGGCAGTCAAGATGTTAATTTATCGTACAACGAATTTTTCATATGATGATTGGTTATTAGGGGAGAAAAAGTTTCCATCGGAAATTCTGTTTCCTGTACACCGTAATTTTAATACGTATAATAAAAAATTTGTCATATGACAAATGAAATATACCGTTGAATAGAGTATACGTTTTAATGTTGATCAAAATTATTACTTGAATATGTGCAGGAATCAGTTCCAAATGAACCATCTGTCAAGAGACATCGAGTATCTGACGGCAATGAAGCAATTGACATGAGATGTCGAAAAGAATAAAAGTCTTTAATCAATATCGAACTGTGGAATGCATTCGGTTTCTGAAATCTCTGTAAAGATCGAGAATCAGGACGGAGTTATGATGAGCACGAAAGATCAATCGCGAGATATGGAAAAGGCAACTTTGACGAGCAAGACCCCACGTCAACATGGTGGAAATCGCATTTTATCGAGTCAGGCACGAAGCGAGTTAATCGCCAGAGTAAATCAGGTTAAAAAAGTCACGTAAACTCGCGTTTTGCTTAGATAAAGTATACAAATATTCGTATCATTCGTTTCATGTGAAAGTTTTGGTACACATGTATATGCCCGCCTAGCTCTTGTCGTTCGATGAGATCTGTCGGTGGGAGCGTCGATCGGGGCAATGGATATTGTTATCGAATTTGATTATACTTAAGTTGGCGCGGTCGAGCGCTCGCGAGAAAATGCGGTTAATTAGTGTGGTGCCATCTTTGGTAGGGGCATGCGCGGCCACCACACTACATATTACTAATCGATGTACATATTACTAGTCCATATACATAACACTAGTCAATGTATATATTACTAGTCAATGTATATATTACTAGTCGATATATTATCGTATCTCCTTTATTACTATAATGGAGGGATCGACAGATTTACTTAAGGTACATATTGCTCGATCGATGTACAAAAAACTAGTCCATTACATAATATTGGTCAGTGTATATATTAATATATGTACTATGTATACATTAAAAAAATACTTAAGTTTTTATATTTTCATATAAATTGTACATAGTAATTATCCAATAATTCACTTAGTTTAATGATCAAACGCGTAATTAGCTTGTTCATCTAATGTAAAATCATCAATATGCATACATATATCATATTGAGGTGTAACAATGATTAGTATAATGACAATGCGATTAATTGTCATTGGACTGATTGGTACAAAACGTGAGAATGATATATTGAACTTTATCCTAAATTTAAAATGACTTAGTAGATGTATATGACTTGTATATTTTTCAGAGTGTACATAATACATATATGTGTATATGTATATGTATATATACACACACACATATATTTTTCGCAATAAATTCTTTACATATCGATTCAATAAAAAATTACTTTTTTCGAGCACAAGAACGAGAATATTTCCTGTAATTTTTTAAACACTGAATACGATTTGTTTGTCAAATTGCTCGATTATGTCACAATTTTGAGAAATTTGCAGTTAAAGTTGCAAAAAGGCTATTTTAGTGTATTTTGGGCATATTATATTGTTAGAAACTTGTTGTGTCGATTATGGTTAAAAAGATATTAATGATTATAACATAGAGTCTATTGCGTCAAAGTTGCGACTTACATAGACCATTAAGGATCTATAAAATATTTTTTAATTATGTTATTCAAACTTGAGGTTTCTTCATGTCACTGAATACTAATCCGATGTCAAAATTAAAAATTCGACTATTTTTTAATTCAGACATTCTGAAAAACTCTTAGGTTTGAATAATTAAAAAGTATTTCATAGATCTTTAATAGTCTATGTAAGTCGTAACTTTGACGCGATCATAGATTCTATGTTAATTATCAATATCTTTCTAATAAACTATAAGTAATTGACACAACAAATTCCTTTTAAAAATTAAAAGTTCTAACAACATATATACTTAATTTTGATTGCAATACAATTTCTCCAACACATCGCATATCATAGCTACAATATGCCAAAATACAGTAAAATAGCCATTTTTGCAACTTTAACTGCAAATTCCTCAAAATTGTGAGCAATTTGATAAACGGGATCGTATTCAGCGTTCAAGAAACTACGGAAAACGATTATTTTCGTTTTTGCATTTTTTTTGTCGAACATGCAGTGTTATCAATTTCTGTATGTGAATTTACTGTTCCAACAAAGAGTGTTTTAAAGATCCGCAAATAATCGGCGTGCGGTTTACCGAGTTTGGAAAAAGTACAAAAATTTCACAAAGAAATATTATTATTAAGCTACTAACAATAAGATCCAGCCCGGATCGTAAGTAGCATTTTCTCTAATTGAATCTATATATTTTATGGCACTCATTCAGTTGGATTATAAAGTGGGTATAGATGTAGAGTTAAGTTAATATCGTCATGGCCTTTGTTTTATCATGCAACTGACCCTGGACGTGGAAACCGATGGGTAAATAAATTAAGTATTTTTATCGTTTGCGCGAAAAAAAAACCAAGAGTACGTTCGTGAGAAAAAACGAGACGTTTACACGACATGTTAAAATGCAAAAAATAAGAAATGGGCGCGCACGCTAAACGTTATGGTTTGCATCACGTTCCGTTGCACGTCGATAATCAAACATTTGTTCATTCATGAGAACAACAGTAAAATATTCCCACGCTATTCATAATCTATGAGATTTACACGCACCATTGCGCATTTTCTTCTCGGTTAACTTTTACCGATATTTAAATGCGATTATAAGCGCATTATTCAATTCGTTTAATCATGATTTAGTCGCTCTTTAGAAACTATCAAAGCATGAGCGCGAAATAGAAAATCGATTAAATTATAATGTTCCAGTAATTAGGCATATTTAATGATAATAAATATTTATTACAATGTCTTTATACACATGGAAAACATTGTATAATCTCAACAAAATTTAACGTTTAATTTTGAGAAAAATCCATGTAATTGGTATATTACAGAAACATTGCGCATTTTTCCCGCAATAATTTTTCTCGATTGAGATACCATTATACTTCGTCATTTATGCTTTATACGCAAACAAATATTTCACTCCTTCGACATTGGATTCGTTTGTTACTATACACATATATACGTTCGGATATATCAAAACGAATCTGTTTCACGATAAAATATTGGCAATTTACTTCATTTTTGCGCTTATTTCCTCGCAATATCCATTTGTGTATGACAAATAGTGCATTAATCGATTGATAAATCTGCCGTCCGCGTCTCTCTAATTTGTCATCGTAACGAACGGAGATAGAGAATCGTGCTGTCAAAATCATGCAATGTAATGCGTTTTAATTGCACGCGTTTAACCGATCATTAAAACTTACGCTTTCAAACGTCTTACACTTACGATCGTTGTGCAGCAGCGTTTCCAACATTGTGTTCAACATCTCGCTAAAACCGACCCACTTCAACTTTAAAGCAGACTCAGGTCACCAAGTATAACGGAGTTGCGCACCTTCGAGCACATAATTAATCGCTTCCACCCAGCAAATGAAAGGCAGCCAGGTCACGAGAGGACCATTTTGGCCTCTTTTTTTTCTCTCCACTTCATGCTCACGCGTCGCAATGCTGGCGCGATATAACACAGATTTTCCCGGGTGATATTCCGCGGTGCTGCTCGCGGCAGTCGATTGCAACAGTGATAAATAATTACCTCGGTAATCGTGCGATTGGTTTGAAACACGTGCATGCCAGCACAGCGTTCGAGTATGTTCGTGATTTTCTCGGGAATTCCGCGCGTTCTAGCGTGTGCCAACAGAGGATTAATCAAGTACATGTCACTGAAAAAGTTTTTCACTTTCTCCTTTTTATCTTTGCAAACTTCCACTAATCAAATTTCACATTTTTTGCGTTAAAAATCGTGATTACAATTGTAACGAATTAATAAAATCGTCATATAAAGATAATGAACCCGTGTTTTTCGTGATTCGCTCTCCCATTTCTCTCTTAAGAGGAAAATTATATGATTCATCTGTGCGACAGTGCTTGTTCTTCCGAAATTGAGTCTTAATAGGATGTCATACAAAAGCAATCACGAAGCTTCATAAAGTGAGTCGCTAACCCAAAGTTACAAGAAGCGCACACCGGTTCAACGTGTTAACGTGCATGCCCATCAATTATTTCACGAAAATTATGCACGCGCGTTATGGTACGCCGCGATAACCTCGTTGCGCGAGTCGCTATTTTACGCGAGAAGAAATTTGATCGCCTTCACGCAAGTCAACGCATGTAAAGTTAACTTTATGTCAACATAGTGCGTTATGTCCCGGCGCGGTAAACCGAGGATTTGCGACCGTCGCGAGAATCGATTTTGTTCCGTCGGGGAAGTCGCTCGTGTAATCAGATGATTAGATTCACATATTAGTGCTAATTTCATATTAATCTCGTAACACGCAGCGCGCCTACAGCGTGGTCCGCCAGTTTAGTGATTGCCGAATTACGTCCGCTATTTGAATCGGTTGCGCATAGCTCGTTAGCTCTCACATGCGCGTCTGTAAGCTCGCAGCCAACAAAGTTAATTCGTTGTTAGCATGCCTCCCCGTTATATTGCCAGTGAAGCAAAATGCGAGGCCATGTTATTATCGTTAAAAAAGTTCCTATAGTCCTGTTACAAAATCAATATTGTTTTATCATTCGTTAAAACTTTTTAGAGCCGATTCCTCTCATAGAAATTGTCATTGAATAGTTTCGTGCTATAGCGATAAACAAAAGTGATTGGATGAAAATTTTACAATAAAAATTTCTATGCATATGATTGAAAAAAATCTTGCACTCGAGATAGAACTAGAAGTCTCTTAGGAGAAGATACATATAACTCTCTATATACCAATCTATGTTACATCGTATCTAGAACTAGCATGCAATACGCCGCAGGCTTGGTTCGTCGAATATATTATTACGAACTCGTTAACTGCATCGTGAAAGTTAGCGCGAACTGTCGAAGATCGACGGATCGCGATAGCGTCTTCGCGGAAATGGGATTCCTTATCTTTTTAGCACCGATTTCCAATTTTACAGACGCGGATGTGAGGATGGCTGTTATTCAATACGAAAGGTGGCAGAGTAAGCCGCAACCATAGGAAACCCTCCGTCAACCGCTTCCCCTCCTCTGCTCTAATCGCCCTTAGTCGACTCTCCCTCTTGCTACCCTTCTCGATAAATTGGGCGAGAGATTATCCCTTGAATCAATTTTCATCGCGGATATCTAATCGATCTGCCCCGCGTTTTGCGATTGATCTGTGAGAGTAGAACTCTGATCAACGGCATGTCAGACGATACGTGCTTCTCACGATGCAATGTGCGCATGCAATTTCTTGCCATATGCCATCATTATTTTCCACTGCGAGCGGGAATACCCAACTGTATTAACTCGGTCGCCGAAATTCCGGGAAATCGGCTTCGAATTACGCGAGGATTACGCGAGGTTTCCGGCATTGTCGAACGGATCGCCGTATGGGCTTCATTTAATG